AACAAAATATTTTGAGTGTTGGTCTGTTGAGCTATCAGTTTGACTGTCTTCTTGTCCATCTGCCTCTGAATGCTTCTTTTGAGTCTTTACCTGCTTGTTTGCTTCAATCTACTTCACTCTGTCAGCCTGTCAGCTCATCTGCCTTTTTAAAGCCTTTCCTCCCTGTGTGATGATCCATCTGTGTCCACGTGTCTGCATCTCTATCAACTTCAGTGTGTTTTTGCAATGGTGTGTTCCAGCAGCACTGTCTCCCGGTTTTTCCCTCAGACTTCTAGCGTAGCATTCCCGGAGTCCTCTCCCTCCTTCTGCTATTCTTTCTTCATCTTCTTTTTCTTCATCTGCAACTCAAGCTTCATATCTTTGAACTGCTTATTGCTACTATCTTTTCCCAAAATCTTCATCTGTCATTCTTTATGCGCACTCTCCCTCTATCCCTCTCCCTTTCATACCACACCCCTCTTTCTCACTGTCTCCCAGCTGCAAGCAATCTTATAAATAACACCATAATGGTTGTTTGCCATTTGTTGTCACAGTTGCAATATTGCCAGGAGCACTCCATGTGCACTTGCCTGTTTGTGTGCATCAACAAATCAAGGTAACCTTCATCTGAATTGGTTAGACATATACCAGATTTATAGAGCTACAGATCTGATGCGTTTGTTTTGATGTACACTGGAGCATGCTTTTATCTCAGTTAAAATGTCTCAGGGCCTTTATTCATTTTGGCAGAGAAGACATTTGATTTGATACAATATAGTTTACTGTAAATGAAACTGGCTTATAAACCAACAGCAAAAGAGGAAGGAAGTAACAAAAGTTAGAGGTGAAAGAGGACTAAAGTACAGCGTCCACTAGAGAACATTTGGCAGGAAAGTTAAATGTAAAAATGTACCAAATACCTAAGCAACTGAGAACATGAGGTCTAGTGAAAGCTCTCTGTAAGTCCCTAAGAGATTCTTACAATATAAGGAAAAAAAATATGTAGCAGTTTTCAGGAGATGAAATTCAAATAATGTATTAAACTGAGGTTCGGAGTACCTCAAGGCTCTAATGTGTTTTTTTTTTGTGCTTGGTTGCTTCTCACCATAGCTATATACAGAATCTGTTTAGCTTTCTTTACATTGTTGTCTCACCACCTCCTGCCTGGATGCCTGTGGTTCCTGAACAGAGCATGTACTGTATTATCAGTGCAGAGCAGCTGATGGATACGACCTGATTTATCTACACTTGCCACGGTGTAGTGTGTTATCTCTTTGTAATGATGCAAGACAAAGCAACATATTGCCATTGTGATCACGCAATTTCTTGATTAAATACTGAGCTTTGATGTTTAGAAGTGTTTTAGCTCAACTCTCTCACTGCCTATTCATTAGATTAATTCACAAAATAACAGGCTATGATGCATTCTGACAGCATGAGTGCATGGATGCACAGTCCTACACACACAAACACAATGAAAACATTTATGCACACGCAAGGAAAGGGCTGGGAGGGGTTTGTAGATTTCGATAATCTTTGAAAAGGCAATATTTTTGTTCTGTTCACTTAACCTCATGCTGATATTTGGCACTAGGTGCTGATAACTATGCATGTGTATGTGATACTGACTGCATACTAATTCTGCAGGTGCAAGGCTGGTCCTACAGTGAAAGAAATGAAAGAGGGCAAAATAAAAATTCTGCTCAGACTAGACATTTTTTTTCCAATGATTTAAACTTTAGCATCATTACTGTTTTACTACATAAGGAACTCAAAGAGAGAAAATGCAGCTGGTTACACTGGTATTCAGCCTCAATGCACTGTGAGCGTGTATATGCATGCATCTGTATGGGTGTGTGTCAGTATCCTGATATAGTGAACTGTAATACAATACCCTAATTTTACTGCATCCTGAGAAATGTGAAGAAATATTGTGCATGAAGCTCAGCTTCTTGCACTACTAAACAAGTAAAAGAATTTTTAGATAAATGGGCCCGTACTATGATTTGGCTATGTCAAGGTAAGGTAAACTGCATTATGAGCATTTTACAACATTGTAGGCTTCTTGCTGTATATGGTCATACAGCAGTAAAATAAGAGCGGGTTAGGTTCTAAACTGCAGCCTGTTTTTGAAATGAAACTACGAGGTCAATGTGCCAACTTTCAGCTCTTGTGACCTGTGTCAAAATTAGTTTTTAGCATATTCTCAAGAGCAATAAAATAGGGGTTATCAATTTTACCCTGCCCAGAAGCTGAGACTATTTTAATTTCACCTGTTTCATTTGAAACGCAGTGTTCTGCAGACTACCAAACCAAAAAGAAAAACAAAAAACAGCAATTATTCGAATGGACAACCTGAAAACATAATGCCTCTGGCCGTGGCCATTGCCAGCTCAGACACAAAAGTATAATCAAAGCTTACACAGTCAAAATCATAGAATACAATGTTACTTAAAGGTACACAAATACATTTCCGCTTTTGCTGTTTAACACATATTATAGTGGAGGTGTTAATTAGGGCCCACTGTCGCTGTTGTCAAATTATTTACACGACCTATCTACTTTGAAAAATGCATACATAGATTTCTTAACTATCACATGACAAGGCTGAAATGTTTATCATGCTGTACAGTCAGTGGGGGTGTCAAGATCAGAAAGCTTCACATTTTGCATATTATGGCTCAAAGGTAACATGCCCTTTATAAAGCAACACCACATATGAAATGCTTCATGCGTAGAACACTAAACTTGGATTTGAAAAGACATGAGTTAGTTATAATTTAATATTCAGCCTTGCCCATGGTTACAAGCCTCTGTTGAAACCACACAAAATCATTAGGGTGCATTAGTAAGATCTTAAAACTACACTGGTACAATGGTTAGCTTTTATTCAATGAAGCTGGGATAATTAATTCAAAGCTGGTGCATTGTATTCTTTGTAAGTACAACATGGAATTAGAATAAAAAAAACCATACACACACACTAAACTACAGGGAAAAATGTAAAATAGGAGGTTCACTTGCACACAGAGACACACAAAAACAAACATAACAAAGACAAATACCCCATAAAGGGACATTCACTGTGCACAAACTGTGGGTTGATTAACAAAAAAATAAAATACACAGCGCACGCTCAGACAGCCGCACACACTCTTTTAGCTGGAAGCGATGTTACATATTCATAAAGGCAGTATGGCTTGCTGACACCTCTCTCTTGCCTCCAACCCTCTTCCTAAAAATAGATAAAACCCTGCTGTGAATGAATGGAAAACCTTGACATCTTCATATTTTGTCTGTATTAGTGGGAAAACCTGCCTATATTGACACAGAAGTTACAATCACTCCCAGACAGGCTCATTAGCTTAGAGCTGATGGAGCTCAGGTGTTCGAGTGAAGAGAGCTAACAGGTTTGTTGTAACTGAAATGCAGATATCCAATACTTCTATAAAATAAGTGCCAAATGTGATTTCTACTTCTAATATTGAAACACTGAAGCATTTAGAAAAATGAGCATCCTCTCGTCATCATTAACAGACAAAATCAGAAGCTACTAGTGGAAAAATAAAGCAATTTCAATGCAGAAAACAGGTTAAACATTAAGAAAAAAAATTATATTATGTATTCAGAGAAAGACAAGGAACAACAGGTCAAGCTAGTGAAACAGAGAGATAATAGCCCGAGACTACAAACCAGTTTCACATCTGACCTCACTGTCCATCCTGGCAGTCACTGAGGAAAAACCCTGAGGTGACCCCAGAGCCTCATAAAACAAACATCAACTGAAGACTTACAGTGATGGTCTGTGTCTGTCTGCAAATGAGAGTATAATTTCTGCTTGTTGAGTTTGTACTCTGTGACTGCTTGGTTTATTGGCATTTCCAGAGACATGAAAAAATGTGTGAAATTTGTGTGTGATGTTCTCACAAAATATTATATCAATGCTCCGCACTCGTTTCATAGCTTCTGTGGATAAACATTTATGCAGCTAGAGAATGAAAGAAAATAGGTTTTAAAACTATATTAGATACAACATCTGACTTTTTTTTGCATAAGCTTTTCAATGCAAACAGTTCTCTGTGTGCTTTTTCCTTTGCTTAGGGCAAAATTCTAATTCATCAAAACACACAGGGACTCAGAGGATATTACATGTACTGGCCAAACCTGCCCTTTGAGTAATGGCCAGTGGTAAACACAGAGACAGTAACTGATCAGTGTCCATTTCTGTATGCTGATGTTTCAGGGCGCACTGGTTTGGAATGGAACGCTGGAGTTTGTATCATGAAATTAAACTAAAGATAAATTCTTATTCTCTTCTGAAGGCCTCTAACACTAAAGCACATCAGTTGAGAAATCAAAACTGAATTAGAGAACAAACATCAATCAGACTTGGCACCTCCTGTGTGTGTGTACAGCTTCTAATCTGAGACAACAGCTGTTTAAAGGTCATTTACTTCTGTCAAGTATACTTTTTGATGATTAAAGACTGTCCCTATATTTTTAATTGTGTATGCTGAAGTGTGGTAGGACCCGTATTATGTGCTCCTTGTTTTAATCAGATAAGTTAAAACTGAATTAAATTAAATTTAAGTTTCTTGCACAAGAAACGTTTCTCCATATTTTGCTAAACATATATTGGTGTCATTCATTAATTTACCAGGTGAAAAACAAATCATGTCTTAGTTGGAAGGAACAAGTAGATACCACTGAAAATTTCAGATGCTTTTATTTACTTACTCACTGTATGGGTTGGTGTGTGAAATTGAGATGAACATCCCTCGTTCTCCACAGGACTGCCACCCCTGCAACAGCGACTATAAACTCTGTGTGTGTCTGTCTGATGGAGCGTGATATCATCCCCCAGGTTTATCGGTCCCCCCCTTTTTTTTTTTATTGGTCAAATAAGCTGTTGCTTGTATGTGTTACCACTAGTGACAACAGGTTTTGCCACATCTACCACAACTGAAGTTTTAAGCATTTTATCTTAAAAAAGAAAGCTTGTTTTGTGTGTGTCTGTGTACCTGTATTCTTCCTGGGTGAACACAGGAATGACTGAAGGCTGAAGGACTGTGATCTCTACTAGAGCTGTGTCCTCCAGTACAGGCTCGCCACCATCATAGGCCACCACCACCAGCTGTCTCATGCACACACATACACCAGTAAAGACAGAGACAGAACATTCATTAGATTTTCAAATGCTTGCTAGTGCTGAGACTGTTTATGCCCTCTAACACTGCAAAGAGATTAGCTCTCATTATTTTACAGTCTGCTGACAAGGACAGGCACCTAAGTGGATGGAGCTAATGTAACCCAACTGATGTTGTGGTTATTGAAAAAAAAAA